TATGTTGTTCCTGCAGCGACGTCGCAGAAAATAAAAACCGTTCCTAAAATAGAATCCCATGTCGCTTATTGTCACGTGTCGCAGTCGCGAGGGGTTAGTGCCAATGGCCCTTGGCTTGGTATTGTTGGCAGAATTCGGCCCTCGGTGAAAACTAATTGAGGAAAGCTACATTAACTTACATCATGTCTACACTGGTTATAATCAGTGATGCTGTCTTGGATGCGGCGCGACACGACAAATCCCCGACAGTAAACTGCTGACTCGTTCCATTTATAACGTACTGACACAACGTGCAAATGATTTGCGATGCTTTGTCGCGTCCAGTGTAGATACGATGTGACAAAACATGGCGAGTGTGTAGAAAAGAAAAGTGGACATGGAAAATAGATGATTCAAATGTGAATGGACTGAACAGTTTTGAGTGAGTGAGTGACTGATATCTTTGTTATGGAATACACGCTTTGGTTCGCAGTGAGTTCACAGGTTTAACGTACAAGTTTGCTTTAATTTATTTTCAAGATCTGAGGTAAAATATCTATTGTTGCTTTCACTGTGGCTATAAAGATAACGCAAAATAATATTCAAACTCACACTAGACACTTTTAACATCGAATAAAGCACATAATCATTACCTGAGGTTATCACTGTCATATTTTGTATGTTGTTCCTGCAGCGACGTCGCAGAAAATAAAAACCGTTCCTAAAATAGAATCCCATGTCGCTTATTGTCACGTGTCGCAGTCGCGAGGGGTTAGGACAAGAACTACTTTTTATCGCGTCGTGTCTGGCAAAGTTCTTCTGTATCTAAATGCAAAAATTTTCATAATTGTTTGAATAAAACACACACACACAAACAAAGAAAAACAAGTAGATAGAATATAATATTTTTTTTAAATAAAGAATAAAAAGTAGAATAAAAATAGAATAGAAAGTGTTAGAGTTAAAGGGTTAAATAAAGGTGGAACAGATGTGTTTTTAGTCGTTTCTTGAAGATGGTTAAGGATTCAGCTGCTCGGATTGAGTTGGGCAGGTCATGCCACCAGGAGGGAACAGTTAATGAAAAAGTCTGTGAAAGTGATTTTGTGGCTCTTTGAGATGGCACAATAATACGCCGTTCACTTGCAGAACGTAAGCTTCTAGAGGCACATAACTTTGAAGTAATGAATTTAGGTAAATGGGTGCAGAGCCAGTGGTGGTTTTGTAGGCAAACATTAATGCCTTGAATTTAATGCGAGCAGCTACTGGTAGCCAGTGCAAATTGATGAACAGAGGTGTGACATGCATTCTTTTCGGCTTATTAAAGATTAATCTTGCAGTGGCATTTTGGATTAATTGTAGAGGTTTGACAGAAGTGACTGGAAGACCTGCCAAGAGAGCATTGTCCAATAGTCCAGCCTGGACAGAACAAGAGCTTGAACAAGGAGTTGTGTTGCATGTTCTGAAAGAAAGGGCCTGACCTTCCTAATGTTGTATAAAGCAAATCTGCAGGACCGGGCAGTTTTAGCAATGTGGTCTGAGAAATTCAACTTATCGTCAATCACAACTCCAAGGTTTCTAGTTGTTTTTGAAGGAGTTATGGTTGATGAGCCTAACTGGATGGTGAAATTTTGTTAACGTTAAATAATAAAAAAAAAACTTTGTTGCCTAACAAAGATATTTTAAATTGTTTATTTAAACATTCCATCATAATTTGTTAGTTTTAAACAGTCCATCATGTATAAATTAGTGTGAAAGTCACATTATATAAAATAACAGTTAAAAACCGACACCCTCTTTAAATCTTTCAAACTTTCTATCCCTTACTAAGCAGTGGCTTAATAAAACTTTAACTCTTTATTGATATATTATTAGGCAACCTGCTATTTTCCCTGCAACTGAATAAATAAACAAATGATAATGAATTAGTTTAAATCAGGGTTCCTCGATAGGCGTCCTACATCCGGCCCGTGAGAGAAAAAAGTTTAATGTGGCATGAAAATTCAAACGCAGCATCAGAAAGCTACATTAACTTACATCATGTCTACACTGGTTATAATCAGTGATGCTGTCTTGGATGCGGCGCGACACGACAAATCCCCGACAGTAAACTGCTGACTCGTTCCATTTATAACGTACTGACACAACGTGCAAATGATTTGCGATGCTTTGTCGCGTCCAGTGTAGATACGATGTGACAAAACATGGCGAGTGTGTAGAAAAGAAAAGTGGACATGGAAAATAGATGATTCAAATGTGAATGGACTGAACAGTTTTGAGTGAGTGAGTGACTGATATCTTTGTTATGGAATACACGCTTTGGTTCGCAGTGAGTTCACAGGTTTAACGTACAAGTTTGCTTTAATTTATTTTCAAGATCTGAGGTAAAATATCTATTGTTGCTTTCACTGTGGCTATAAAGATAACGCAAAATAATATTCAAACTCACACTAGACACTTTTAACATCGAATAAAGCACATAATCATTACCTGAGGTTATCACTGTCATATTTTGTATGTTGTTCCTGCAGCGACGTCGCAGAAAATAAAAACCGTTCCTAAAATAGAATCCCATGTCGCTTATTGTCACGTGTCGCAGTCGCGAGGGGTTAGTGCCAATGGCCCTTGGCTTGGTATTGTTGGCAGAATTCGGCCCTCGGTGAAAACTAATTGAGGAACCCTGGTTTAAATGCTTAAGCTAGACAAAAGAACATTTTGCTACCCTGATGACCCTAATAATAATTGATGCCTGATGTTCAGGAAGTTGCAGGTATTACATGAATGCACATTGTCTGCTTCCCCTCTAGGATTTTGTGCCGTGCATTACTGGCCTCTGATGTGGCTCAGCCGAAACTGAGAGTACTACTTGAGCTGTACACAAATCTTGTGTTGTTCTGCAAAGAGCAACATTTTAACAGGGAACAAACTTCTGTACTTATCTCTATGATCAAAAACGTACATCAGTTTAACACAGGTAATGCACCCATAGTACTCATAACTTGCTTAATAAAGTACTTAATAAAGAGTTAACTGTATAGAATTTTGTACAAGAAAATATAAACACTCTTTCTTGTCAACCTTTCAGAAACGCTCCTCAATAACACAGATCACTGTTTGACCTACTGCAGTGAACTTCTGCTTTGCCATTCAGTCAGGGTATGTACATATACTGCTGTTCAAACATTTTGGGTCAGTAAGATTTAGTTTGAAATGAATACTTATATTCAGCAAGGACGTATTTTAATCAAATTGATCAAAAATGACAGTAAATACATTTCTAATGTTACAAATAAACGCGGTTCACATTTAAACTTTCTATTCATCAAAGAATCCTGAAATAAAATCTGTTAAGCATATTAAGCAGTATCACCATTTTTAACATTGATAATACTAATAATGTTTCTTGGGCACCAAATCAGCATATGAGAATCATTTCTGAGAGATCATGTAACAGTGAAGATTGAAGTCAAATTCAGTTTTACCATCTTATGTATGAATTACATTTTAAAATGTTAAAATCAGTTAAAAGCAGTTATTTTAAATTGTAATATTTTAAAATATTGCTGTTTTTACTGTATTTTGAACAAACAAAAGCGTAAAATATATCTTTCAAAACCATAAAAAAATTGTACATACCTCAAACTTTTGAACGGTAGTGTAGATCTTATATCTGCATAGACATTTTTTGTGCTCAAACCTCTTTTATTCTTTTTCCCATTAAACACAGAGGCCTCCTTTCAGTATTGACCTTTTCAGCTCGAAGCAAGTGACACAAATTTTGTCCTATTTCATCAACACATATATGAGACATTATTTTTTATACAAATACATTTTTACCCCAGAGGTATGTATGAGGCTGTGAATCTGTCAGGCCAAATACTGTGCGTAAATTAAGTATTAATTTATGTTAACAGGAAAATTAATGATGAACTTTATGACCACTTTCTCTTGCATGGTAAAGGTACAGCTGGATATATCTTTGTCATATATTGGAATACCTGAGGACACAGATATAGAGGAAACTGCCCAGTCTGGTACAGTAATGCACATCTGATTAAATAAAATATACCTGTAGCATACAACTGAGAATTGAAAGCATATATGGTCAATTGTTGTTTAAAGAAAGTGTTGCAGATGGCAAAAGAGAAACTGAGAGGGAGACAGAAATGGATGGAGAAGTTCAACAAAGTGCTGCACTGGAAATGACGGCTACAGAGACAGACAGTCTCGAACAAGGTACTAATATATTAAAGTTTATCAACAGGTTTAATTGAATTTGAAGTAAATAAGACTACTCCAAAAACAAATTTGCAAGCTTGCACAAGGCATTAGCTCAATTTATTATTAGCAAATGTATTATTTGTTTTCAAAACAGAATAGAATTAAATCTGAAATAAAATTATTAAAATTACTTTAATTTAAATTATTATACATGTATGCCCAGTTTCCACAAAACACAAATACTTTTTTTAAATTTAGAATTTATTTTAGTAATTTAGAAAACCTGTAAATACAAGTGGAAGTGATTTTAAAAAAAAGTGCCTATGTTTATATTATATATTTTTTTCCTCACACAAGGCTCTTCTCTAAAGTCTGAGCTAAGGACCATTGTTCAAAAGGAAGTGAGGGATGAAGTGATGCGTTTGACTGCTCAGCTACAACAACGGCTCCAGGACAGTGCTGATCAGCTAAATAATGCCATTAGTAAAGTGGAGACCAACATTCAAGTTAAGAAGTAAGAAAATATGTCCCACTTCTTTAGTTTTGGAAACCACTAATAAAAAAAAACACAAAATACAGTAATTATATATATATATATATATTATTCATATATGTATACCTGTTTAGAATTAGTACTGTACCTTGATGATGAATGGATAATGTCTGATCGACTCTGATAAAAAGAAACAAGTGGTATACATAATTTTGTAAGGATTTTAAAAAAACTCTCAGTAGGGTTATGTAACTGTAATGCTATGTTTCAAGTATGCTATGCTTTGTATTGAAAGTCTTAGTCCACTCCACATTGTTAAATATTCCCTGTGCATCTATGGTTTAGTCTTCAACAACCTGGAATTGTTTTTGAAGCAGAAGAATGATAATAAATTCAAATACAACCTGCTTGGTGGAAAAAACTTTCAAAGGCTAGAGAGCTTGAATAGGAGACAAGCTCTGTTAGGTAATTGTGAATACAAGTCTTTTTTTTTTTTGGTCCATATAATAAGCAATATCAGACGATACCACCAATAAGCATGTGACAAAACTATACATTTTAAAATGTACAATCCACAGTGAGTGATTAAAATGAGGTCACATGGCCTGCTGCTAAAATCAAAAGCACCATCCATCTTTAAAGACAAAAAAAAAATAGTTGTGTTTTGTGCACCTTTTGGACAGGCAGGCTATATACCCTTACTTAAAGACATAAACAATAAACTGTAAATTGACAGATGAGGGATATCTTTAGAAACAAAAATATGACCTTTAGTTTTCAAGGTCTTCAAGGCCCAGTAGAATGATTTTAGCCGTGTTCTGGAATAGAGCAGCTCGGTTCTGTTGCTCCCCTTTCTTGACCCAGTGTCCATATATGCGGAAAGCACAGCCGTCGATCAGCTTGCGCACAACGCGGATGGAATAGGGGTCTCTTGCTAGGAGCTCCTTTGTTAATGGTCTGGCTCGGTAGTACCGGCACTGCATTCGTATACAAGCTAACACGGTCAAGATCAGGGCCTGAAAATGCAAAGAACAATTTGGAATTTGTTTCTGTGTACAAAAAAAACTAAAATATATATAAAAAAAAAAAAAGCTTTTTTTTTTTTTTAGATTTAGATAATTTTTTAATAATTTAGAAAACCCTGTAAAGACAAGTGAAAAAATTTGGTAACACTTTAGAATGATGGTCCGTCATTAATCATACGCTACTGTCGAAAAGTTTGGGGTCAGTATGATTTAAAAAAAAATTCATTAATACTTTTATTCAGCAAGGATGCATTCAATTGTTCAAAAGTGACAGTAAAACATTTATAATGTTAGAAAAGATTTCTATTTCAAATAAATGTTTTCTTTCATCAAAGAATCCTGAGAAAAGTGACATGATCAGGGCCTGAAAATGCAAAGAACAATTTGGAATTTGTTTCTGTGTACAAAAAAAAACTAAAATATAAAAAAAAAAAAAAAGCTTTTTTTTTTTTTTGATTTAGATAATTTTTTAATAATTTAGAAAACCCTGTAAAGACAAGTGGAAAAAATTTGGTAACACTTTAGAATGATGGTCCGTCATTAATCATACGCTACTGTCGAAAATTCATTAATACTTTTATTCAGCAAGGATGCATTCAATTGTTCAAAAGTGACAGTAAAACATTTATAATGTTAGAAAAGATTTCTATTTCAAATAAATGTTTTCTTTCATCAAAGAATCCTGAGAAAAGTGACATTTTTTTACAAAAATATGTTCCAACATTGATAATAATAAAAAGTGTTTCTTGAGCACCAAGATGGCTGCTGAAATATTAAACAGTTCTGACATCACATTTCACAATACTACTGCTACTGTAATTTCTTAAATAAATGCAGTCTTGGTGAGCATAAGAGACTTCTTTCAAAAACATTAAAAAAAATCTTTGAATGGTAGTTTATATAAATGAAAAAAACAAAAACAAACACACACCTTAAATGTCTTCCTGGGGCTAAAGAGCCGCACATCCTCCTTTTGGTACTGACGGAAGAAAGGATGAGCTAAAGCTTGCTCAGCCGTTAGACGAACTGTGGGTTCCACCACTAAAAGCCAGGAGATCTAAGTGTATTTAAGCAGAGGTGGACAGTAATGAAGTACATTTGATTGAGTACTGCACTTAAGTACACTTTCTGAGTAACTGTACTTTACTTGAGTATTATTTCTTCTGGAAACCTATAACTTTAACTTCACTACATTTGAAAGGCAAATATCGTACTTCTCACTCCACTACATTTCTATCAAGGTCCTCGAAGTAGAAAGTGGTTAGCAGCTTTGAAAGTCAATGGGTGAACTTTTTCTTCTTTAAAATGTGATTTTTTGACAGCCTATCGGTAATTTTTCTTTTAGGGTTACGTGAAGTGATTTTCCAGCATTTTTGAACATTGACTAGTTGAAAATGTGATATTTATTTATAACAATTCAATAATAAGTAGTTAATGTTGTGGTATATATTAGACACAATATTGTATTGATTTTGCTAAATTGTGTAATATATAAATCCACAGAGCAACTGTTGTGCGTCTCCTTGAAGTAGCAGTGCACAGACTGTTCTGTGTATGACCTCAAAGTACTGCGAGAGTGATGTCGTCAAATAAATCTTGCTTTGTTTTTTTTGTTAAAGCAGTGTTGTTTTTGTAAAGTTATACAGCTACAGCTGTGTTTTAATGCAGGTTTAATTTTTTTCTTATCAGTCTGTATTTACCGCAATTTCACTGTCAACTCAGTTAAAATGTGGATGAATGGCTACATGTAGATGTGTGCACACACCGCTAGAGCTGTATGAGACCACGACCATGCTGCCTTCGTCAGGGTGGGTAGGCTTGTTAAATAAAATAATTTATTTTTTGTCAACTCGTTTCATTTCTAACATTCTACATTTCAGTTTTTAACACTCTAAAAGCTCTTTACTCCAAAGATACTACAGGCTAGTCAGTGTATTCAGGTGTAATATATTGTAAGTTACTTCAGAGGCATAAGGTATTGCAAGAATAATAAAACAGTGCATTGACAAACTTAAGTACTTTTACTTAAAGGGTTCACCCAAATTCTGACATTAATTACTCACCTTTGTGTTGTTCCAAACCCGTAAGACCTTAGTTCATCTTCGGAACACAATTTAAGATATTTTTGATGAAATCTGAGGGCTCTCTGACCCTCCCATAGACAGCAAGGTAACTACCAGGTTCAAGGTCCAGAAAAGTACTAAGATGATCGACAAAGTAGTCCGTGTGACATCAGTGGTTCAACTGTAAAGTTACGAAGCTACAAGAATACTTTTTTGCGCAAAGAAAACAACAATAATGGCTTTATTCCACATTTTCGTCTCTACTGCATCACTTGTGGACGCGTGTTCACGACAGCATCGTGACGCGAGCGTGTGGCGGCGCTGGCGCTGACCCAGATCCGGCGTAATTACATCATCACGCCGGATCTGGGTCATGCGCTCGCGTCATGATACTGTCGTGAACGTGCGTCCACATGTACTCACAACACGAGGGTGAGTAATTAATGACAGAATTGACATTTTTTTACAAAAATATGTTCCAACATTGATAATAATAAAAAGTGTTTCTTGAGCACCAAGATGGCTGCTGAAATATTAAACAGTTCTGACATCACATTTCACAATACTACTGCTACTGTAATTTCTTAAATAAATGCAGTCTTGGTGAGCATAAGAGACTTCTTTCAAAAACATTAAAAAAAATCTTTGAATGGTAGTTTATATAAATGAAAAAAACAAAAACAAACACACACCTTAAATGTCTTCCTGGGGCTAAAGAGCCGCACATCCTCCTTTTGGTACTGACGGAAGAAAGGATGAGCTAAAGCTTGCTCAGCCGTTAGACGAACTGTGGGTTCCACCACTAAAAGCCAGGAGATCTAAGTGTATTTAAGCAGAGGTGGACAGTAATGAAGTACATTTGATTGAGTACTGCACTTAAGTACACTTTCTGAGTAACTGTACTTTACTTGAGTATTATTTCTTCTGGAAACCTATAACTTTAACTTCACTACATTTGAAAGGCAAATATCGTACTTCTCACTCCACTACATTTCTATCAAGGTCCTCGAAGTAGAAAGTGGTTAGCAGCTTTGAAAGTCAATGGGTGAACTTTTTCTTCTTTAAAATGTGATTTTTTGACAGCCTATCGGTAATTTTTCTTTTAGGGTTACGTGAAGTGATTTTCCAGCATTTTTGAACATTGACTAGTTGAAAATGTGATATTTATTTATAACAATTCAATAATAAGTAGTTAATGTTGTGGTATATATTAGACACAATATTGTATTGATTTTGCTAAATTGTGTAATATATAAATCCACAGAGCAACTGTTGTGCGTCTCCTTGAAGTAGCAGTGCACAGACTGTTCTGTGTATGACCTCAAAGTACTGCGAGAGTGATGTCGTCAAATAAATCTTGCTTTGTTTTTTTTGTTAAAGCAGTGTTGTTTTTGTAAAGTTATACAGCTACAGCTGTGTTTTAATGCAGGTTTAATTTTTTTCTTATCAGTCTGTATTTACCGCAATTTCACTGTCAACTCAGTGGATGAATGGATGAATGGCTACATGTAGATGTGTGCACACACCGCTAGAGCTGTATGAGACCACGACCATGCTGCCTGTGGGTAGGCGGGTAGGCTTGTTAAATAAAATAATTTATTTTTTGTCAACTCGTTTCATTTCTAACATTCTACATTTCAGTTTTTAACACTCTAAAAGCTCTTTACTCCAAAGATACTACAGGCTAGTCAGTGTATTCAGGTGTAATATATTGTAAGTTACTTCAGAGGCATAAGGTATTGCAAGAATAATAAAACAGTGCATTGACAAACTTAAGTACTTTTACTTAAAGGGTTCACCCAAAAATGAAAATTCTGTCATTAATTACTCACCTTTGTGTTGTTCCAAACCCGTAAGACCTTAGTTCATCTTCGGAACACAATTTAAGATATTTTTGATGAAATCTGAGGGCTCTCTGACCCTCCCATAGACAGCAAGGTAACTACCAGGTTCAAGGTCCAGAAAAGTACTAAGATGATCGACAAAGTAGTCCGTGTGACATCAGTGGTTCAACTGTAAAGTTACGAAGCTACAAGAATACTTTTTTGCGCAAAGAAAACAACAATAATGGCTTTATTCCACATTTTCGTCTCTACTGCATCACTTGTGGACGCGTGTTCACGACAGCATCGTGACGCGAGCGTGTGGCGGCGCTGGCGCTGACCCAGATCCGGCGTAATTACATCATCACGCCGGATCTGGGTCATGCGCTCGCGTCATGATACTGTCGTGAACGTGCGTCCACATGTACTCACAACACGAGGGTGAGTAATTAATGACAGAATTTTCATTTTTGGGTGAACTAACCCTTTACTTAAATAAAAATCTGTCTTTTCAACTTTCACTTGTAATGGAATAATATTTGACCAGCAGTATCTGTACTTTCACTCAAGTAATGGAGTTGTGTACTTTGTCCGCCTCTGTATTTAAGAGAATGCACATATGGTTAAATTTCTCAATGCTAGCAGTTCACCTATATGCTACAGGCTAAGAGAATGCTAAGAGAATCTCACCAAGTCTTTGACAGTGTCAGACCGGTCATCCCACTCAGGAGAGCTAAACTGGTACCGGCCTTCCATGATCAATCTCAGCATCAGCAGCTGTTTGCGATGCCAGAATGGTGGAGAACCAGCAAGAAGCGTGAACATGATCACACCACAAGCCCACCTGTGGAAAAACATGGAGCAAATGATGAACCAACTGCAGTACAAAGCTGTTGTGACCCCAAGAAAGGTTTATTAAGGTTTAATAGCAAAACTCACAGGTCAACCTCTCTCCCATATCCCTCATGTGTCTCATCCATGGAGCACTTCAGAATCTCTGGTGCCAGATATCCTGGTGTTCCACACAACTCTAACAAAGGAAATGGACAAAGACCAGTGTAACAACATTGTATGTTGTTCAATTTTTAAAGTATGAGAATCTGTTTTGATTTGCCACTGTTGGAAGGACAGCGTTGATTTTCTCACCTCTTAGTTTTTCATCAGGCCCCAGCTGGACTGAAAAGCCAAAGTCAGAAAGTTTGATGTGTCCCTGGTCGTCCAACAGAATATTTTCAGGTTTGAGGTCACGATGTACAATATTTAGAGAATGTAGATACTGGACAGCCTCCAGAAGAGCACGCATCATACTCCTAAAAGCGAGAAGAGTTTTGCAGGAAATATTTGTGGCTAATTATGGTATGAGAACAATTTGCCACCATAGAAACTTGAAGCAAGATCTGAGAATAAACTGAAACCTCACCTGGTTTCCTTTTCACTGAGAGTGACTTTTTCAGTCAAGTAATCGAATAGCTCTCCTCTCCTCATGCTGTATGAAAAGATGTGTGTGAAATTACAACATATACACTACTGTTTAAATGTTTGGGCTTGCTAAGATTATGCTTACCAAGGCTGCATTTATTTGATCAATTTCAGTAAAAACATTTAAATATAGTTAAATATTATTACAATTTAGAATAACAATTTTCTAGTTTAATATATTTAAAAATGTAATTTATTTTTATGATGGCAAAGCTGAATTTTCAGCAGCCATTACTCCAGTCTTCAGTATCACTTCAGTATCATTCTAATATTCTAAGATGATCAATGTTGATATCTTTGAAGAAACTGTGATAGATTTTTTTCTTAGATAGATTCTTCAGAAGTTTAAAATGCAAATCTTCTGTAACATTATAATTGTTTTTACTGTCACTTTTGATCAATTTAATGCATGCTTGATGAAGCACTGAATTTATTTAATACACGAGTTTCACAATTTGAGTTGAATTACTGAAATAAATGAACTTTTCCACGACATTCTAATTTATTGAGATGCACCTGTATTAATATCCTTTTATTTATTTAATTAAAAAAAAATCTTACTAACCCCAAACTTTTCATAATAATATAACATAAAATAATATATATACTTACAGGTCAAATACCAAAAATATGAAGGTTGTTGACTCATAAGAATCAATAAGTGTGACTGAAAAAGGAGCACAGATAGGGTCAGTTACTATTCAGAAAGGTTTGAACAGATGTTTAAACATTAGCAGTACATTTCAGACTCACTGATGGACGGGTGGCCCTTCACCACATTGAGCACATGGATCTCCTTCAGTGTGGAGCTCTTCACCTCCTCTAACTGCTGTTCTGTCATTTTCTCTGCAGTGATCTCAATGATCTTCACTGCAAACTCCTGCCCTGTGTGTTTGTGTACACATCTGCTCACCACACTGCTCACACCTCTGCACAGTGGACAGTTCAGTTACAAGATATCTCAAAAAGTGACACCAAAACACTTGCTGAATCGAACAAATACTCACCTCCCAATCACCTCTTTGGGATCATACTTCTGATAAAACTCTTTCGCCCCAACCCAGTCGGGCAGTTCATCTCCAAGAATGATATCGCGAGTCATACTGATAACCTAAACCAGACACATTTATTTACTTTGATTTGAATGAGTGAAGAGAAGGTATACATGTTTTCTTCTTGTGTATTACATATCTTGATTGCCCAATCAATCAGTCATGCTTGTGCTATCATATTCATCTAATGCACAATGTCCCACTACACTTAAAAGCCATTTCAGGGTGTGATATTACATCTAAACCACCACAGCTGTTTACCTGAAGCTGAATAATGCTCTCTCAATGCCCATTTTAATAGCAACAAAAATTCAACATGATCTGAAAGCGGTGAAGCACATTTTTTAAATGTTCTTAGTTTAGCTTAAAAAAAGAAAAAGAAAAAAAAAGTGTATTCCTTTGGGAGTTTCCATTAAGATCTACTAAATATTTATTAAGATTTATTAGATCTAAAATATTTATTAAGCATTATTGTTATTACTATTATTAATGACAATAATAATTAATACTATTAATAAAATAATAATACAAATGAATTAATAATGTGAATATTTGTCGTAATAGCACATTGTTTTACATGTTTGTAATAAATGTTTTAAATTAGTTGCTATAACGAAGTTAATTGATATAACGGACATGATTTCACATTAGTTGCCATTTATATACATTAGAACCCTAAAAACATAGGGAACTACAGTGGACAAATGTGTAACCCTCTCAAAATACATTATTTTTTTTTAAGAAGTAATATAATAGCATATATTACGGTGGCAGAGAAGTGCAAAGCAAATCACAATTCTGAAAACAAAATAAATTACAAACGCAAATGCAAATGCAAGTCTAAAAAACAAAATAACAATTCAGAAAGCACAACAACAAGTCAGAAAACACAATGACAAATTTGAAAACAAAATAACAAGTCAGAAAACACAAAGACAAATCAGACAAACCAGAAGAGGTAGTTATATATTTTGAGACAGTGCCATTGGTTTGGGATTACTCACTGCTGACTGGACGAGACATCTGTCAATCAACGTATACAGGAAGAACCAGCCGAAGAACAGCAGAGTCGTGGTAGAAAGTTCGGAGATGGTATTAAAGTAGCTCAGTTTAAATGTATTGTATGAATTGCCCTTACTATGGAATAAAAAATAGGGGGTGTCTACTTACATTTAGTTAAAAGTGGCTGTTAATCATCAGCTCCAGTGGTGCAGATGGATGAGTGTGTGTCATTGGCTTTTTGACACGATCGACCCAGGTTCGATCCCGTCTTTTGCCCAACTTTTTTTCCCTCCCTTTTCAAATCTCGTATTAGCAATGGATTCTATTTACACTAAGTGAAAATAGCAGTATTTTTAGCAATATGCCATTTACACTAAGTGCAAATACCTATTTACACTATGTTAAAATAGCAGGATTTCTACTATCAAGTATACTACTTGTTGCAAATAGTGGCAATTATCTGCACTTCAGTATTGTAGTACATTATAAAACAGTATGCAATAATAATAACGTATTGAGTGTAAATTATATTTTATTCCATAGTAAGGGCAATTCATACAATACATTTAAACTGAGCTACTTTAATACCATCTCCGAACTTTCTACCACGACTCTGCTGTTCTTCGGCTGGTTCTTCCTGTATACGTTGATTGACGGCAGTGAGTAATCCCAAACCAATGGCGCTGTCTAAAACTATACCTACCTCTTCTGGTTTGTCTGATTTGCCGTTGTGTTTTCTGACTTGTTAATTTGTTTTCAGATTTGTTGTTGTGTTTTCTGACTTGTTATTTTGTTTTTGAATTTTGTCATTGTGTTTTCTGACTTATGTTTTCTGAATTGTTATTTAGTTTTTTAGACTTGCATTTGCGTTTGTAATTTGTTATTTTGTTTTCAGAATTGTGATTTGCTTTGCACTTCTCGGCCACCGTAATATATAGACAGTAATATTTTGATTAAGAAACTGTTATTTATGATAATGTAACTGTTTAATTATTTAAAAATGCATGCATCGAAAGGTTAAACCACATGCTTGCAGACTGATAAGCGTAATACCCACTTACATGAAATAACAGCACAGAGTAGCAATAACTGAAAACAGTCTGTTCTGAGAAATGAGCTGTTGCGACCAATGACCTCGTATGCTGTTCCTGTCCCAACCCAGAAAAGCCGAAAATGTACTCACAACCACTTCCACAAAATCAACCGAAGTGCGCAGTCATCTGACGGCTCAGTGTTTTCACCTGTCCGGCTGAAAACATGAATTTGAGGCCACTGACAATACTGCCATAGCACTGCAGAAAACTTTTGTAGGGCTCCTGGGAATGTCAACAACACCCTCGTCGACTCGCACTTCTCTGCCTTGTAAAGCACAGATGCTGTACTGTCGTTGTTCATCACTGCCACCTATAGGATGGAGCGGGTACTAGCACAACCTATTTATTGAGTCATTTCTTCGCTCTGGTTTTACCAAAGGAAATTTAACAAGATGTGGCAACAACAGATATAGAACAAAACGTTTTTACATATAAAACATGAATAATCATTTTGGAAAAATATGGTCAGACTCCAATCAATTCAGCCAAATAAAAGCTGTTTTATTTGACATAAATTTGGTCACTTCATGGGGCCTGTCATGCTGAGATCCCATGACCAGCTGAATACAACTTATGGTCCTCCTAGGAAGATTGTATTTATGAGCTGGTAAGTCTTAAATACGACATCAGCTGCTTTCTAAACACTTTGGTCAATTGAAAATGCAAATGCTCCTAACTAAATATCACTATTGATAGACAATTAATGCAAAATCAGTAACAGCTGAAGGAAATACACTAATTAAAATCAATAATTTAAATATTAATTAATTACATTTAATAATAATTGATATAAACAGCAGCAAGATATAAACAGTGCCAACGTGCAAAGCCCATCTTCTGATGAGATGGACAGATTGGGTCCTTGTTTCTGTGCTTTTCATTCTCTCAGTGGTTGTTCTGTCACTATGCTGGCTTGACTATGGGCAGCACACTCACTTCAATAAGCTTGAAATAACCTACATAACATTGTCTTTTCATAAGTTTATTTATTTTGTCTTTTCTCCGTTTATTTATTTACTTACTTTTGGTCAGTATTGGGCAGTAACGCATTACTTAGTAACGCGTTACTGTAATTTGATTACTTTTTTAGTAACGGAGTAATTTAACGCGTTATAATTTTCAAAATAGTAATTAGAGTATAGTTACAAGCCGAGGTCTATACGTTACTGCCGCGTTACATTGCTGGCAGAATGCAGTGATTTATAATCTAGACTGTAAAAAGGATGTAGCTCACGCACTGTCGAGTCAAGTGCCAGTGGATTACAGACCTGCTCCCGCGAGACCCGACGCAACAGAGTGCGGCGCGAGACGAGACTTGATAGGCGAGTGTGTGTGCGGGATGCGGGAGAATAAAATGATTCACGGGACTACCGCAAAATAGAAATATCTAAATATCTAAAACAAATAAACTGTTATTAATCTATTATATATATATATCAAATATAAACGATTAACAGGTGCAAGTGTATGCAGAGTTTCTATTTAGGCTATAACACGTGTTTGCAGCGTTGAGCAATGCAGTGCTGAAATGTGCATGCTCACGAATCCTCTCATTATAACACACGAATTGTAGACATTATGAACGATTCATTGTTCATATATTTATTGTGTTATAATAGAGATTTGTGAGATTGCGATGAACTGAGATGTTATAAATGCACCGCTCTTTGCTGGCATTCTGCCATACCAAACCATGCACGCAGCAGCCGCTTGCTTTAGTTAAAAATAACAGTGTTCTGTGAATGTTGATGCTTTAATAACAGATACTTATGCTTATACGTGTATGCTGGGATTTCATGGAGAGAGAAAAAGTAACGTAACTAGTAATGTAACTAATTACTAATTACTTTTGAAATAAAGTAATCAGAACAGTAACGTGATTATTTTTAAAAGGAGTAATCAGTCATTTAATTACATTTTCAGAGTAACTTGCCCAACACTGCTTTTGATTAACAGAGAAAAGAACAAGTAGACCCCTGACCTGGACATATTTGTGTATTTGCTTATGACCTCTACAAATACTAGACAGAAGCTAAATATATACCATGAAAAGGTGTATTTACACATACATACAGATCTTATGGACATTGAAACTTGATACTGGCAACAATTAAGTTTCAATGCTGCATAATTCACCTGAAAGCAAAGCAGCATCAGAGCTGCATTTTAGTATGGCTTTAATGCAGCATGTGTCATTGCATGGCAGTGTACGGCTGTTTTAAGTGTGAAGCCCACATTTTCACACATTCCCCTCTGAAATTCATGAAAGAACATCTGCCAAAGCGGCACAGACGCTGCATCTCGGCTGTGTAAAGATGGCTCACACATCTGCTTGAAGCAACATGGGAGAGAAAGGACTAAGAGGAGAGGAGGATTTCAATGGAGAAAGTAGTAGATATTAGGCTGTAAGACCAGTATTGCGTAACACCAGTCATAATCCCATCCTCCAGAATATCTAATAAAGCAAATCCACTTTTATGATGAAAGAAACCATAGAGATAATTACACCGGAAGTCACCGTTTTGTCTCCTTTCTAATACGGAAGTGGGCGTGAATTACAGCCACATTCAGCAGCATCACAGCACAGTAGACGTCTGTAATTAATCACTGCAACCTATTCATTTCGGATTTAAATACATGCAGATCAGCTTTATTTCATCTTTATCTCAGCGAGATACAAGTAAGTGCATTTGTTTCGGCGTGACGCCGATTTACGGGCTCGTGCACGTAGTGTTTGTTGTGGTGAAATCGCAGCGATCAAACGTGCTGCGGCAAGGATGCAAGATGTTCTGACCACAGCAGACATCGAATAGCGTGCTTGCGCTCCCTAAAACAACATGGAGGAATAAAATACAGTAAAACAGCGGCGCCCTGCTCTATCCATCCCATCGAGCACAGCACGTGAAGCATGCAATGCATTTATTCAGAATGGGTTTTGTCGCTCGCGCTGGCCTGCCGTCGCAAATGCATAACAGACAGTCCTAGTGTTTGTCATATTATGCATGCAGATGTGTAGTACAGCTGCATCCCTTAGGTAAACCAACACACGTTCAGATGAAATGAGTGTAGTGTGCTTACGAAATTTGTGATCGATATAGCTCAGAAAATGTTTTATCTGTATTTATAAGGATCTATATATATTTACAGCTGTTAAGAACCCTTGGAAATATGAGCCAAACGTCAGAGCCTTCAGACGATGCTGCTGTGACTGAAGGTTTGGATTTTTTTTTATTATTAGTTTGCAGTGGAAACAAGCAAAATTCGTCAAAATACCATAGTTACAGTTATTATTTGCTATAAGACCATGGTAAATTGATATGACATCTCATCCGAATTTATACGAATCGTTCGTAATCTTTTTGTTTAAAGGGACAGTACACCTGTTATCAGTGCTGTGTAGATTACTTGCAAATTGTAGGTCGTTACGGACTACAGATTACCTGAAAATAATGTAGTCTTATTACTTTTGGTTTACTTTAGATTACTATCTCGTTTATCACATATATTTGAATGGGACTGTTTATGTTGAAGAAGAAAAAATGTGTGTGTGTATATATATATATATATATATATGAATTGAACATCAGGTTTTACCAAACTGGAGTTTGTGAAAGAACTGCAAGGGGTTTGTGAGCTGATGAAAAGCTAATGTATTGAAGAATCAAAATGTAAATTTAAAGAAATACTATTAAAAATGTAAAATGAGAAAAAAGATACTTTAAAATAGAAATATTTTTATATTTATTACCTGCATCGCAGTGTGATGACCATTGACTGACTGACCTCAGAAAACGTATTGAAATATTAATATGTTAAATATTAATAATATTATTAATAAATATTAATAATATTGAAATATTAACTTTAAATTACAGGGGGTCTATTTAAATATTTTATGTCAAAGTAATGTGTGAATAATATGTAATCCATAAAAACTAGTTTAAATTTGATTATAAGCTTTTTAAAATGTAATTTAATCTAATTACAAATGCAATTTTTGGATTCTGATTATGTAATCCAAATTACATGTGTCTACCCAGCACTGCCCTTTATTTATTCACCCTCATGTTGTTTCAAACCCGTACGGCTTATTTTCTTCTGTGGAACACAAAATGAGTTGTTATGGAGGATGACAGCCGCCTTCATTTTTATTGTATGGAAAAATATTACATGAAAGCGAATGATGTGGATAGTAAATAATGGCTGAAGTTTTATTTTGAGTAAACTGTCCCTTTAATTTTTATTACGGCAATAGTTGCTGGTATCAAGTTACCCATATTTTGCTGTAGAAACAACAACTGTTGCAACTGTGGTATTTTGACATAAACTCTGGTAAATGATTTAGGTCAACTTGTATGTTTATTTATGTATTTTCCACCCACCATTCATGTATCCAGCTCCAGTTACTCAATCTGAAACCAAGCAATCACCAGCAGGGAAGAAACAGAACAAAAAGAAAGTGGAAGAAGTGGTGGAGGAAGTAGAAGAGGAGTATGTTGTGGAGAAGGTCCTTGATCGGCGTGTGGTGAAGGGAAGAGTGGAGTATCTCCTCAAGTGGAAAGGCTTTTCTGAGTGAGCAGCCGCAGTTAGATTTCAACTTGATTTTGTGTGAAAATCCTAGTGTTTATTTATTTATTTTCCTCAGCGGGGACAACACCTGGGAACCAGAGGACAACCTAGACTGTCCTGACCTCATAGCAGAATTCCTTAAGTCTCAGAAATCGGCTGAATCTGGAGGCAAGCGGCGGGCCGAGTCAGACGGCGATGGAAAGGAGACCAAAAAGCGCAAGGATGAGGTAAGAGCCATGAAGATCTGAGAATCTGAGATGTCTACATCATTCCATGTCTATAAGCTGGTCAGGAAGTGTCTTTAAAACATTAGAAAACCAAAATAGATTGAATGGGCTAAACAGTGTCTTACATGCCATCTCTCTTAATTTAGCCTGAGAAACTCAGAGGTTTTGCACGTGGTTTGGATCCTGAGAGGATTATTGGTGCTACAGACTCAAGTGGAGAACTCATGTTCCTCATGAAATGGTTTGTATGGAAATTGTTACCCGTAAAAAACAAACAAGTTTTGGATTAGAGAGACAGTTCCTGAGCAGCATTAGGAGAGACTGGGGGCAACTGTAACACTCTTATGAAAGGAAAGCATGATTTGTATTTTTTACTTTTGCTTTCTAAAGTTTTGATGCCTTCATATACAGTGTTGGGGGTAACGCATTACAAGTAATGCAAGTTACGTAATCA